TTGGTGAGTTAGGTATTTTCAGTCGCTCAATAGAGCTGGGGATTTTTCTGGATGGCCTGGCAACCCTGTGGAAAAATTCCCAATGGATGCGTCAAGGGTTTGTTGAGCTACAGACTTTTTATTTGAGCCCGTGTTGCTTGGAGCGCTGATTATTTACATGAGGGGAATTCGGCTATCTGAAAAATGTTCAAGGCTCTGGACACCGCTGGGATTTTGGCCATACATTACGAGTGATCTGGCTACACTGTGTGCAAATTTGCGCTATATGCTGTCAACGGTTTGATATGTGGATGTTCGAAAATTTCTTAAAAATTAAATTAAATTCGGAAAATCGACAAAAACTTCTATGCGGTTATGGATTTTTCCTTAAGTACCGTGAAGCCTCAGCTGCAGTGGTGCCAAATTGCAAGTGTCTACCGTTTTTTTTGAATCAACCGAAAATTTGCAGCTTATTTCTGAACATTTCTGCCATCGCTGGAGATCTCAGCTACTTTCATCCAAAATATAACGTAGCTCTCTTTAGCAGTTGCTGAGTTATGATTTTTTTTTGCGCTTGCACTTCTTGGAATTTTCTTGACAAATTTGGCTCTCGCTTAGATTTTTTTTTTAAATCAACAAAAACTTCTATGCAGTTCTGGATTTTACCTTAAGTACCGTGAAGCCTCAGCTGCAGTGGTGCCAAATTGCAAGTGTCTACCGTAAGGAGTTGCCGAGTTATCATTTTTTTTTCGATGCTCACGTTTTCTACAGCTTTTTGCAAAGTGAATTATTGCCTAAAACTTGTTTCTCAACATTTCTGTCAGTCAGCTACTCTCGTCAGCTACTCTCGTCCAAAATATAAAGCCGTTATCTTGAGCAGTTGATGAGTTATCATTTGCTTTTAAGGTTGCAGTTTCTGCAATTTTGATTGTAATATGTGCTCTCTTTTAATTTTTTTTTAAATCAACAAAAACTTCTATGCAGTTCTGGATTTTTGGGGAAGTACCTTGAAGCCTCAGCTGCAGTGGTGCCAAACTGCAAGTGTCTACCGTAAGGAGTTGCCTAGTTATAATTTTTTTTCGATACTGACGTTTTCTACAACTTTTTGCAAATTGAGTTCTTGCCTAATTTTTTTTTAAATCAACCGAAAATTTGCAGCTTATTTCTGAACATTTCTGCCATCGCTGGAGATCTCAGCTACTTTCATCCAAAATGTAACGTAGCTCTCTTTAGCAGTTGCTGAGTTATGATTTTTTTTGTGCTTGCACTTTCTGGAATTGTCTTTATAAATTTGGCTCTCGCTTAGAATTTTTTTTAAATCAACAAAAACTTCTATGCAGTTCTGGATTTTGCCTGAAGTACCGTGCAGCCTCAGCTGCAGTGGTGCCAAATGGCAAGTATCTACCGTAAGGATTTGCTGACTTATAATTTTTTTTGATGCTGACGCTTTCTACAACTTTTTGTAAATTGAGTTCTCGTCAAATTTTTTTTTTAATCAACCGAAAAATTTCAATTTATTTCTGAGTATTTCTGCCATAGCTGGAAGTCTCGGCTACTCTGATCCAAAATATAAAGTAGCTATCTCTAGCAGTTGCTGAGTTATAATTTTTTTGAGCTTCCACTTTTTGCAACTTTCTTTGCAAATTGGGCTCTCGCCTCGAAATTTTTTATAAAATCAACCAAAACCTCTATGTCTTTCTGGATATTTCCTGAAGTACCTTGAAGCCTCAGCTCCAGTGGTGCCAAATAGCTCGTATCTACTATAAGGAGTTGCTGAGTTACGAATTTTTTTCGATGCTGATTTTCTACAACTTTTTGCAAATTGACTTCTTGCTTATTTTTTTTAATCCACCAAAAAAATATACGTATCTTTGGCTTTTTTTCCAGTTTATTCCACAAACTGCGCTGTTGCTTAGACATTTTTGAAAAATCAACCGAAACCTCAGTCTCGGTCCGGATTTTTTTTCTGATGTCCTGATCATCCAGCTACATTGTGGCACCATTGCAAGTATCCACTTTCGGCAGTTGCTGAGTTATGAATTTTCTGTTCAAGCTTACACTTTCTACAACTCCTTGAAAATTGGGTTTCTGCCTGAAAATCTTGTAAAAATCCTACAAAAACCCTTCACGTATTTCTGGATTTTTGTGCAGTACCTGGATGTCTCAGCTACTCTTCCTCCTAGCAAAAGGTTGCTATCTCGAGCAGGTGCTGAGTTATGAATGACGCAATTTTTGTTGCAAATTGCTCAGGAAATTTTAAGAAATTTTAATTTGGCAACATTGCAAGTAGCTGCTCTGAGACGCCCTTGCTGCAACCATCAGCAGTGGGGAATTTTTCAAAAATCTGCGCACCATTCTGGATTTTTTCGCGCATTCCTTGGCACCTCAGCTACAGTCTGGAACAGTTACACGTTGCCAGTTGGTGCAGTTGCTGAGTGGGGATTTTTTCAAAGCTTCCTCTCAACAAAGTCCATTTAAAAGCTTTTTTAGCTGGATTTTGGCGTAATTCTCACATATTTAAGCACCTGAACTGCGGGCTAGTTGTGGATGAAATCGCCTGGAAAACCCTGGATATCGAGGCCGTGGCCCCAAAGCAATAACCTGGCAAATGAAAACGATTAGTTCGAATTCAATTCTGCCGCCGTGGCGAAACGATTATAAAACCTATCCAGAAATCTGGATCAGGCCCGGAATATTAACTGAAATGGCCGCCCTAATGACCAATCAAACCTCGTTAATTGTCCGCATGTGGATGTTCCAGCAGCGGAACCGATCCTGGATGAGGGCCGATGCGGCAACATTCCGCAAGTCGAATTTCCACTGTCCATAAAGTGCGATTCTGGAAATGCTCCATTGAGCCGCCAGCTTTCCAGAGGGATTAAATCGAATCAAATTGCTCGCCCCTTAAGCGATTGCTGAATAGCTGCAATATTTTCTTTGGGGCCGAAGGCCCGACGGTCGGAGAAACCGTTTTTATCCAGGATCCAGATCTGGATTCCAACTAGCGATGGAGAGCGGAAGCGTTTTTCAACTGTCCAGACTTGGCGGGTCAAACTTTGGGGGTTTTGGGCGAGAAAAAATGGAATTTTGCAACTTTCCAAGCTCAACTAGCGGTCAATCCAGACCGAGTTGCCTCACATTTTTGCCGAGCTTTCCCGATTTTTTCTGGCACAGCGAAAGGTTGCAAATGGGGTTCTAAAGTCCCGTTAGGGCTGCAAATCTGGCAAAATTAATGGCAAAAAACGCGAAAAAACCTGGCGCCTGTCCAATCAAAGCACTGCAAGCGCAGGCGTCATTTGTTTAAACTCCAGGCGTTTCGAATGGAGGGCTTCATCAGGCGTTTTTGCAACGCTATGTTCAAGTGGCGCCACTGATTTTGCTCAAGTTTGCCACTTTTTCGAGTCAAAAACCGGAAAACTGATCAGTGAGCGGTCTTTGGTCTAGAGGGGTGAAAGTTTCACACCGGGACCATCATCAGACTCGTTGCTAGAAAACCCCTTGAAACCTGCGCAAAGAAACGCAGCAACTTTCAGGACCTGTGGTGGAAACCACTGGTTCCCTTGTGTAGAGGCGCGGTGTTGTCAAAGTGCAAAAATTTGCGACAAAAAAAACACTTTTGAGCCCAGAAAGACGCGTTTTGCGCTCAATTTTTGGCAAATTGTCGAAACTCGTGAAACTTGTGCCGCTGGTCAAGTCAGAAATTGGCCTCAAAACGAGGCCAAAGTCGATAAATGAATTTTTGGGGCCTTGGAAACATTCAACTAAACCTGCAAAGAAAATGGAGTTTTCGCCACTAGTGCACTTGACTGGCGGTTTGAAAATGGGCCACAAACCTCCGTTTTTCCTGCAAAGCCACTTTGAAGAAAAAGTCGGAAAACCGAGTTTTCACTCAACTTTTGGGACTCTCGCAAAATTCAGCAGAAACTGGGATCAAACTGAAATTTTCGCCGCTTAAATCCTGATTTCCCTGCCGTTGGATGCACCAAAAGCCGACGTGATGCACTGATGCCTTTCGTTCCCAGAAACTGGGAACAAATCGCTTGCAAAAAGTGCACAAGCATCTAACAAATTAGATTAATTTCCAAAAAAAAGACCATTAAAGCAAATTTTCTCGGATTCTTCGGATCGCTGGGGCAAAGTTCAGCCGAAATCGCCCCAAAAGTGAAACTTTCCTGCTTCAAATGAGCCCAAAATCTCGTTTCCAACTGCTGTCGTTTGCTATCTTCAGACTATGGCGAATGCGCTCCAAAAATTTAAAAATTAATTTCTAGCAAGTTGCGACTAAATAGCCGAAAAAATTGCGAATTTTACCGTCAATAGACCGAACGTTTCTCTGTCAATGAAGCCATCAACCTGCTTTGTGCCTGCCCTGATGTGAGCTTGAAGCATTTTGGAAAAACCTCCGGAAACTGAACCACCAGCGCCAGGAAAATGAAATTTTCCCATAAAAATCCGCATTTTTTGTCTTACAAAAATCGTCTCCTTTACCGGCAGGGTTCGGGAGTGGACTAGAAACGAGCGGGAGACGAAACTTTCACAGTCAGACCCAGTTTGTAGGCGCAAATTTTGCATAAATTCGCCACTGGCAGTGCAGAAGACCACCGAAAGACTAAAGCCAAAGCTTGCAAACTGCGCCACCTGCTGCCCAAAGAACCTCTTCCAAAACTGACTCAATTTCCTGCCTCAATTCCGCAGAAAATAGCTCCAAACTGGTTACTTTTGCACCTATCTTCATAATGTGGTGGATGCGCCCCCAAAATAAAAAAATTGCAGATAAACCAACCGAAAAGTTGCGAATTTTACCGTCAATAGACCGAACGCTGACTGCAGCCAAAGCTCGCAAACTGCGCCAGCTGATGCCCGAAGAACCTTTTCCAAAAATTGACGCAACTTCACCCTCAATTCCTCGGAAAACGCTCTAAACAAGCCCAAATTTTCAATAAATCTTCACAGGATGGCAAATGCGCCCCTTGACGTCATCCATCAAAGGGCCAGCTCTGAACAACCAGTAAAACTTCATAAAAATCGTCAAGCTTTATTGGCTTTTTGGCGAGTTTTCATTGGGGCGCGTCCGCCTTTTTGTCCTGCCGGCTCCGGGCGTGCTTCAGCGCCTGCTGGGCGGCCGTGAAGCGAAGGGCGACGTACCCAAAGCCGATCTCCAGCAGCAGCAGGATCAGCAGCACACTCTGGCTCAGCACCGGCAGGACGCCCAGCTGGAAATGGGGGTTGAACAGCAGGAAGCCTTGCAGGGGCAGCTGCAGGAAGACCGACAGCATCCAAAACGCCGCCAGCTCTGGAATCTGCCCTTAACTGCCCCACTGGCCTGAACGAACCGGCTGCAGCTTCCTTACCTTGTCGCCCAGATTGCCTGCATAGAGCATGTAGAGGCGCAGCCCCTCAATGCAGAAAACTGTACTGGCGGTGACGGCTGCAAGCGCCCGAGTGAGCGCCCCTGGGGCCCAGTACTAAAACAAATCAATGGGAGCCCAAAGCGCGAAAATTCCCCCCCAGCACCTACCTGGTGAGCGAAAAAATCCAGGAAAACCGCCGCCCAAGCGGGCAGGAAAACCACGTTAAAGTAGGCGCACATTTGCAAGGGCAAACTGCTCCTAACCGCCTCCAGGCCTTCAGTCATTGTCAACTGACGTTAGATGCACACAAACACAAACAAACTGTCAGACGTCGCGGTTGCCCGGGCAACCCTGGATGCAAACACACCAACCGCGCTGTCAGTGCTGCAGGCGCATGCCGTTGCTAGGGCGATACGACACTGAGAAAGTATCGATACTTACTCAAATGATAGATAAGTTCTATATCTTGTCAATTCTATCGATTGCGGCGATTCGAACCTAGCGGTTTGTTATCATTTAAGACGATTTAAGGTGAGGTGATTTTTTCCCGGTATTTTGTTGTAACCGTAAACTCTTTGGATTTTATTAATATAGTGTTGAACT